AAAAATAATAATAATAATAAAAAGAATTAAAAGCAAACCAAGTCTAATGAAGTGGCATAGAGGCTTAGTGACTTGCTTTTGACTGTTTGATGAAGGGTTTGGGATTAAGATAGTTGAAGTAGCTGAGTCTATTAAATCTGCTTTAGAACAGTGATATTTGATATTCTGTGATGGTTTGTTGATGTCAATTAACAGATACATTCCGATTATTGAAAAAAGAAAGATTGAAAATGTGGTTCTTCTTTCTCCACATTCCAATTATTGATTATTTCAGTTTGAATTGGTATTAGTGTATGGTTACTTATTAGTTTGGTAATCCACTTCCAGGAAGGTTCTATGTCTCCTGATTTATACTCAGACTCAGATGAAAGTGGTAGTGAGGGTGAGGAAGCCACTGATGATGAATCCTATGTAGATGATGAAGATGATGAGTCCTACATAGATGATGAGGATTATGAAAATGATGATGCATCAGAGGGTTCTGAAGAATATACTGATGATGATATTGAAAATGCATCAAGCAGAACAGGCAGTGAGACAGAGAATGATGTGAATGATGAAAAGGTTCATTCCTTCACCTTCTTACATTGGCATCTGCACTATTTCCTAAATGTAAAATGACAGTAGAGGCAAGCCTTAAATAGTTCAACTTCATATATTAATATCAGACCTTCTTGAGTGAACTTTAAGTGCTCTCATATCCAAAGTTTTTAGATTTATTTGCTGTTACATATTACACCATGAACATGTAGCTCTGTGACATCATGTTCAGACTCAAGGTCGTGGCAATGTCTAGATGTTCATCTTCCCTTAAATTTAGGCATACAACACCAAGTTGACATACAGGGAAGTAACATGTACACTTTCCACATAAAAGTTACATCAGATATACAGTTCCAGCTCTCCTTGTTGTTTTGATTTTTTTCTGTTTTAGAGACCGCCTTGTTTCTGCATGACTACATACTGTCATTTTTCCTTTTTCTGGGGCATCAGGCATACCCATGCGAGAACATTATATTTGGATTTATGATTGTTGTTTGCATTTAACTAAATAGGAGAAATCTCAGCCAAAAAAAACTAAATAGGGGAAATAATAATAACAACATGATGACGTATTATAGTTGCCACTTGTCATCAATAGCAGGAATCTGGTGATTCTAGCCGGGATTTGGAGTCCCCTACTGATGATGACCTGAAGGCCAGCCAGAAATTGCCATCAAATTCAATCCAAGTTTCACTTCCTGTGGACGATCATACTCAAAGGAGTGAGAACAGGAACCAAAGCAACAGTGTTTCAAGAAAGCAGACTGATGAGTCAGCTGGACGATCAAAAGATGCAGAAACTGCTTTCATGGATAAGCCAACTACTCATGTTGCAACTTCATGCACACAAAAAATGACAACTGCTGCAAATGGACCTACGCAGAGCCATAGCAGAAAACGTCCCACCTCTTGGGGTCGTACCTCTGTGAGTAAACTCTTCCCTAATTCACGTCCCTTTAATTTCTCATTTAGCCTTCTTCCCAAAATATTTCCTAATATCTTTTCTGGCTCTTGAAAGATTTAAACTTACAGTTTTTCAGCTTATATTAAGGTAACCGATCTTTTATTTTGTTTATATATTTTGCTTGACTCCAGGCAAAGAAGAACCTCTCCATGGAATCTATTGATTTTGATGTTGAAGAAGACGAGTAAGTGACACTTATCATCTAAAGAGATCTTTTCATACTAGCTTGCCTGCAATATGTTTTACTAGCTCATGCATTGTGTCCACTGGGATAGCACGCTAAAAGTTTCATAAACCTTCTGCAAACCCTTCAAGCCTTATTGTCTTTCTTTATATCCTGTTTGCATTTCATGTTTAAAGATTAGGTTTCTTTTTCTTTCTTTCTTTCTTCTTCTTCTTCTTCTTCTTTCTTTTTTTTTTTTCTTTTGTTAGCATGTTTAAGGATAAACTGACTTGCTGTTGAATGATCTGTTCTTCAAAGCTAGAAAGAGAAAAAGAAAAACCACTTCACATTTGGATTTTCTTTTTTTGTGAAGTGGACTCTTACTTTCTAATTATATATAAATTTTCAATCAAATTTTAGGTACGAAATTAAGAGGCTCGAGGACACAAAAGCTGACTTGCAGAACAGAATTGCAGAAGAGGTAGTGCTTAAAAATGCCTCTTCCAAGCTATCCTTGTCAGAATTTATTCTAGAGATTTCTATAACAATTACTTTTCTCTATTATAGGTCAAAGGTAATGAAAGTCTCCAAGCCCGCTTGGAAGAACGAAAGAGGACCTTGCGTGATCGTCGTCTAGCTCTTGAGAAAGATGTATGGTCTATCTGCGAGAATATGCTTTTCCTGCATTTGTTTTTTATTTTAATGCTTACCAGCTTTTTGTCTGCATTTATAGATGGTTGACGAAAAGGGGTGGGTGTTATGATTTCAAAAGAGAAAGTTATATAGATCAAATCTGTTTTTTCGTCTCTTTTTGTTGTCTTCAATATCAAATCTTCTGCAAATGGCTGTCACTAGAACAGATTGTGTATAATGAAGTACATGGATGCATCAGTGTTCTTTTTTACCTCATATAAAAGTTAACTATCCTTAGGCAGTGCATGCCCTTCTGTAATGTAAACGCATCTTGCCTGAAAATAAAGCTTTGTGCAACTTGCTTGTTCCGTTTACTGTATTTTAAGTACCGTATGCAACTTGTCTCCGGTTTTCCTCGTGCTAAAAGAGTTGAGGGAGTTCAATGTGTTCATACCAAGCATTGAAGCTGGAAGTCAACATTCAATATATGAAAACAAAAATTTGTTCTCTTTCTTTTACTTATAAATTTATTACTTGTACAGTGCACCTGGATGTTAGCGAGTAATTTTCGCCCTTCCATTGGGCTTTTTCATTGGATTGTCTGTGTATCTTGCTTGTTGAGAAAGACGTAGTCCTGACAATAAATTTTAATTATTCTTGTAGGTGGCAAGACTACATGAACAGTTGCATAAGGAGAGAGATAAGAGAAAAGCTCTCAGAGCAGGACTTGACTCATCTCAGCGACCCTTATCTATCCCATCAGCCATTGATGAAAAGGTTAGCCTGACTCAAATTTAACCATTATGTATTGATCTCTGTTTTGGATCAATTCCAAATTTCTAACTCGCAAATTGGATAAAGACAAGGACAGAGCTCAAGGAAATTGTTAATGCTGAGGCAGATGTAAACAATTTGAACCAGAAGGTTGAAGATCTTTCACTGCTTCTTAATCAACGTGAACAAACTTTCATTTCCATGCATGATTCAAGCGATCAGCCCCAACAAATTTCAAATCAACCGAAAGGGTAAGCTCTTTCTTGTTGCTTTCAAGGGTGCGCGCGCACACACAAAGGAAAAGAGAAAATTTTTTTTTTAAAAGACCTTACTTGGTTGCTTTAACGTGAAAATTGGATTTTATACGCTGGACAGATAGTCATTCTTGCATATGTGTCCCCTTTTCAGAATTTTGAACATATATGTTAAAATACACGCTAGAATTGTTTCCTAAGATACTAATAACAAACAATAAGTATAATGCCTGAATAATGAATGAAAACAGTTTAGCATTTTCTTCTCTTTGTTTTATCTTATATTTCTTTAAAGATAAACTTGAATACCTTATTTTTAATACAGGAAGATTAAGCAGAAGGAAACTGAAGCTGCAGGTTCATCTCTTTTTGGGAGATCAAAAAGCAAGGTAAATTCACATTCATTTCAGGCATATTACAGTACCTAGTCTAGTGCTAATTAATGAGAATCAGCTGAATGTTGGAATTTATACTAGGTCCAACAACTATTGACCATTCCCTCTCTCTTTGGCCTATCCAACCTGTTTCTCTAAATTTTTGAATTGGCATTTGGTATCATGGGAATAGCATTATTTGCCTCTTTTAATTTCCCTTGGTTCTACCAAAAAAAAAAATTTCCCTTGGACACAGTTTGGGACTTGGATCCTGATGAATGGCAAACCATGAATGAGTGGCCGCTCTGTCGCATACAAACCTGTTGTTAGATCCTGAATAACAATTTATTAATGAAGAGAAACCTAAGGGAAAACCTGAGGTTCTTAAGGGAAATAACGTTTCATAGTTTCATGTTATATGCACCCTGCGCTCAAATGCATATCTTCATTTATGAAGATGCTAACATCCAGTTATGACAGGAAAAGCTATAAACTAAATACAGAAACAAGTCACATTAAGCATTGTCTTTCCTTGCATGGCTGCTTTCTTTCCCATTCATTGTGAATGAAAGCTGAGTGTTGGTTTAAACCCCCTTCTGACCCTCATTATTCTTGTTGGCAATTCTGGCCAATAAGAAGAAAGAGCAGCTTGGGCTAAAAAAAAAAGAGGAAAAAAAAAAGAACAAAAAAACAGAACAAAAAAACAAAAAACCTATACTGTGCAAATTAGGTGTGAGATCACCACTAACTTCTACGTTGCAAATTAGCAATGAGACCATCACTAGCTTCTTAAGTCACTTTTTTCACATGTTTCCTCTTTTGTTTTCAAGGAGTGTTTTTTTGACAGGAAGTTTAGCCATTTTTTTACTGTGTTTATTGAACAAGACAATTGAATGTTGCCTTGAACTTCTACCGCAAGCCTCTTTAAGCATTGTAGCCTAAAATAAGTTTGAGCTTCGGTCAGTCTGTACTTACATAAACATAAATACTATCTCCTAGGTTGCTCAACTGTCTGTTATCTAGCTTCTATTCCAATATAGAAATTCTTGATGTTAGTCTCTACTGAACCTGGGTTTAAATTGAAAAATAAAAAGGAAAAACGGGAAAAGCAGGACAGGCATATGGATGGAGCTGAGACTGAGAAGAAGCAAGAACCATCTGTGCTTTCTGTACGTAGGAGCAACTCCAAGTCAGATCGAGCGGCTGCTGGTTCTGCTGCAGAGACACCACCCAAGGCTTCCAAGAAGTCCAGTACAAAGGGTGAGGTAGGTTCCATTATTTTTTGAGCGCCATGCCAATACTATGAAATTCTTTATGTCAATAATGATACGAGATTCTTGGAAGTGAGCCAGCAATGCATCATATAAATTTATAACTGGTCTTCAACATGAATCAGGATTAATTAACGATCTCTCTTCATTTTCTGAACTGCATATTGTTGCTTGATCATTCCATAACATTGTGTTTGATATCACTTATATTGTCAAACAAAAAAAGAATACTGTAGAGAACTACAGGCCTTTTTGGGGTTAGGATATGATGCAGTTAATAGCGACTAACTTGGCTTGAAATTCTCATACCATAAAGGATTAGATGGTGTACTTACCTGACGCCTTAATTTGCATAAAATAGGGAGCCAATTCAAGTTCTGCACTCACAAAGTTATCCAACCGACTCAACTTTTTGAAGGAGCGGCGAACCCAGATTGCGACTGAACTCCAAAACATGCGTTTGGGTCAAGGTCGATCAGAGAAGGCCAAAGGATCCGAAGCTCATCAGTCTGCTCAAAATCCAGAAAAGAGAGGAACAGAAACTAGCCAATCCAGCCAGAACCCCGACAAAGGAGCGGGAGTAGAAGGTCAAACACTTCAAAATTCAGAGAAATCTTGGAAAGTAGAGAGCCGCAACCCGGATGGAGGTAGAAGATTAGAAGACCAACACTCTCAACCCGCACTGGACAGAGGAAGATCTGAAAGCCATGGAACCTATAATGCAGACAAACCGCCAGGATTAGGAAGCCAGCCCTCTACTCCTTCAAGAACTTATTCCAGATGATAGCCAGTCCCATATGATCTGACAAGAGGATCGTGTATTGTTGCTGTGCATGCAAGATCCACTAATTTTCCAGAGAAATCGTTACTCCCAACGTTTGGTGGTGCTTAGAAAGAAGACTAGGTTGATTTCACTCTCTCTCCTTTCCCCCAATCCTACAGTCGAACATGTACCTCTATCTATTGTCTGTATAGCAAGTAAATGCAATTTTATTCAATTGAAGTGCCTTAAGCACTGTTGCTAATGATAATGTATACCTAGCAGTATGCAGATGAAATAAACAGTATTAGGCGAAATTTCTATCACTTTTTTTTTGTTTTTACAAGAACAATAATTAATAAATTACTTAGTTATTTGTTAGAAATTGATAATACAATCTCTAGATGAGGGTGAACACCATCACCCTCATTGAGAAATACGACCTAATGAATCGCATGGTGGTGCTCAATTTTTATCATTTATTCTTTTGGTAAAAGAATGGTCGTACAAGTTTTTCCGTCCCTTTTTTATTTTTTCTTTTTAAGTCATGCAGATTGATTATTTAAAAAAAAAATTCATTATTACATGTCAAAATGTTCTGTACGTCCCGTACTTCGTAGTGCACCTGTTGGAATAGGCCTAGCAGGCCCAACGCCCAAACAGGACTATGCATAACGGGCTTAGAGTACCACCTATTAGCCCAAGCTGAAGAAGCATCGGTACAAGCATACCCACGTGACCAACACCACGTGGGCCAATGGGCTGCTTACACATGTAGATGTATGTCAGCACCAAGGGGCTATAAATACCCCCCAACTACCTCCGATGAAGGTAATTAATCTCTGCGCTTCTCTCTCTGCAATTACTCCTTGAGAGCATCTCTCTCTAGAATATTGAGTATTGCTGACTTGAGCGTTGGAGTGTTTTCCCCGAGGAAGCATCCTCGGGATTTTCAGGTGTAGAAGCAGCTGAAGACTTCAACAGTGTGGGATTGTGAAGCTGCTGAAACAGATACTGCCTTTGAGGTATGCTCGTCAGGATCTTCTTAATATTAGGTACGTCCTTAACCGGGACTTCCACGGCGAATGCCTTCCAATTCAAGACATCACTAAAAGGTGGCACGTAGCTGTCGGAAATCAATACCGGAACACATTCTGCGTAGATAGCCTCCACGGTTCGGGGGCTTGCCACCTCGTACCCGCTTGGGCAGAGACAGAACTTGCTGTTCTTTAACTTTGATAAGTATGACACTCCATTGGGAAGTTGGTCATAGACAGATAGACTTGGACATCCCCATCTTTGCCTTTCCATTCTTTTAGAAGTAAGTACCTAATGTGGCCATGTAGGCGGCCAGCAAAAAAGGCTAGAATGGACCGACCGGAGGGGGATGGACCGCCTATTAACCCTTCTACCTCCCCGGT